CCCGTCTTCAAAGGGCAGCCGGCAGGGAGCAAATGTCTGCTCCAAGGGCACAGGTGCCACGTCCCCACCAGGAGGCCACCCTAAGGGCCCCCAATTCTGCCCTTGTGACCAAAAGGCCCCCGGACGCCGCCCCGCTGTCCCCTGGAGACGGCTGCTGCAGCACCAGGCGCTCTCCCGCGGGGCGCTCGGGACACACTCACGCGAGGGAGACGGTGAAGTGGAAACGCTGTCTCAGGCCTCGGAAGGTGACGAAGGACCGGGGCGGGAAGCTCCTGGTGGTCACCTCGCAGTAGGGTCGCTCGAACTCGCCGGGGGGGCACACGCAGTGGAAGCCGCCGATGAGCAGGTTCACGCACGTGCCCCCGTTCTTGCACACGCCGTTGGCGCAGCGGCCGGAGCGCGAGTTCACCTCGCAGTGCTCTCCTGTGGGACGAGACGGGCGGGGAGAGGTCACCCTGCGGCCCCGGAACCCGACCCACGGGCGGCCGTCTCCGTGCAGCGCGTAGACACCGCAGGGCCCGGGGCCTTCCGAGGACCGCGTCGCAGTCGTCCCACGTGGTGGCACCCCGCTCCCGGGGGGGCGATCCCGGGACAGTTCCCTGGAAACACCCCAGGGGGCTCCTCCACAGAGGTCCCATCCCTGCCCCAGCCCTGCCGGGGTCCCCGCGCTCAGGGGACAGAGGAACATGCAGGGGTGAACGCTACACCCCGCCAGCCCAGCAGGGCCTTCTCTTCTGCGAGAATCATCCAGACGATGAGAATAAGGGGGGGCCCCAGGTCCCCTCCCACAACCGTGCCTGTTGCAACGGCTGCGCAGTCAGAACAGAGGGGGCGACCAGGGTGCACGCAGGGAGCACGCTGGGCCCAGGGCCACCACCTCGGGAGGCCTCCCGCCCCACGCGCCCCCTCGCACTGCCCCGAGAGCGTGGCCAACACCGGACCCCCGGTGTGTCTGTAATCCCGCCTGGCCCCCTCGCCAGCCTGGAGCTCGCCAAGGGCAGGCGCCACTGTGTCCCCACATCCCGCCGTGGTGACAGCAGGGTCCCGGAGGCTTCCCCAGAGAGACTGCCTCTGCTCCAGAGGCCTGTCAGACCCCGCCGGCGGGGAGGGTCCCCGCGCTCGCCAACAGGGGGGACACGCTCTGGGAGGCTGGGGTGGATCCCGAGCTGGCAGCCGGCAGCGGTCTGCCGGGACGATTGATGCTCCAGGGACGGGGAGGACGGCCCAACCCCACGGCCCAGCCTGCCTCTGCCACACACAGGGGAGCCGCCAGCACCCCGCCAAGACCTGTGGACGGACAGGAGCTTCTAAAGAGCAGACACTCACTCCCCAGCTCCCGCCAATGTTCTTGGCCAGTTACTGATTTTCATTTCATTTCATTTATTTTTTAAGTAGGCCCCATGCCCACCACGGAGCCCACCACGGGGCTTGAACTCACAACCCTGAGATCAAGACCTGAGCTGAGATCAAGAGTGGGACGCGTAACCGACTGAGCCACCCAGACGCCCCCACCAGTTACTGACTTTAAATGAGCGCCTTTTCAAAGAAATGTTTATTTATTTATTTTTCAAAGAGAGCACGTGCATGCAAGCAGGGGAGAGGCAGAGACAGGGAGGGGGAGAGAGAACCCAAGCAGGCTCTGTGCTGTGAGCGCAGAGCCTGATGCGGGGATCGATCTCACAGACCTCGGCTCATGACCTGGACCAGTATCAACAGTCAGATGCTTAACTGACTGAGTTACCCACGTGCCGCTAAATGAACACCTTTCAAAATGAACGTATGACATTCACATCTGCACCCCTGCCCCCCTCCCCCACATCACTGTACAAAAACACGTCAGGGCAGTAAAAGCCCTCAGCGGTCTCCTGCACGCCCTCAGGAACGAATCACTTTCTTCGGAGTCCTTTCCTGTCAGTGCACCTGCTTCCGCCCCTCGTTACTGGCTGCACAGAATTCCACTAGAGGACCCATCAAAGCTTCAGTCACTAACGTTCCTTACTCTATTATTGATGGCGTGTAGGTAGCTTATAGCTTCTTCTATTGCAAATCACTTTCAATATACATCTGTGCTGGGGTTTTGTAACGTTTATTTATTTTTGAGAGAGAGACAGAGTGAGAGTGGGGGAGGGACAGAGAGAGAGGGAGACGCAGAATCCGAAGCAGGCTCCAGGCTCCGAGCTGTTCGCACAGAGCCCGACGCGGGACTCGAACCCACAGATCGCGAGATCATGACCTGAGCCAAAGTCGGATGCTCAACCGACTGAGCCACCCAGGCGCCCCCAGGATCTCTGTGCATTTTATTGACAATGTGCATTTGCTGTCCCTGGAGCCACCCGGTAATTCCCGTGCGTGTTTTCCTATCAGCTCCTCATAAACGAAGGAAACCAACTCTCCTGTGTCATTTCTGTGGCCGCTCCCTCCTGGCTTGAGGTTTACATACTTGCAGCCACACAGAGACGTCGTATTTGCAAACAGTCATATCCATCCATTTTCCCTTAGTGATGCCCGTGCTCTTAGATTAGTACAAGACCAGTACGAAGGGATGTGAATCACACAACTCCAGAGACGTCTAATAGGAGGGGCCGTGGTGCGGGGACAGTGGCCTTCAAGCGACAGCAGCTTCCTGGAGCCCAGGAGTCACTGGGATCCCCAGGCGTCGCCTTAGCCAACCGGGCTGACTGACAAAATACCCGCAGACCGTGTGGCTTCAAACAACAGACGTTCATTGCTCAGGGTTCTAGAGGCTGTAAGTCCACGGTCAAGGTGCCGGCCACCCCAGCGCCTGGTGAGAGCCCGTCCCCGGGAGCCCACTGTGCTCACGTGCGTGCAGAGCAAGCTCTCTGGTGTCTCTTCTCGCGAGGACGCTAATCCCGTGTGGCTGGGGGTCAGGGCTTCCACCCGCGAGTCTGGGGGGGGGGGGGGGGACACAAGCCAGCCCACAGCAGGCACGCGCGAGATCGCTGAGAATGTGAACGGACTGCAGGGTGATGTTAGGATCTCATCAATCTTGAACAAGGAAAATGAGGTGCTGTTGAGAGTGGGTGTTAATGGCTCACACCAGACTTTGCACCCGGACCCCCCCAAGCCAGGAAGCCGCCCTTGCTGGGGCAGCCCACACCCTGTGGCTGGTCAGTGAGTAGCTGGAGGGTCTGGTGCCCTGGCCCAGAGCTGGCCGTCTCCGGAGGTGGGGACACGGTCAGCAGAGGACTCTGTTGCTCCTCTCCGGCCCGTCCTGCGCCCCCGACCCCCAGGCGCAGCTCCTGAGAACGCAGATCGTGGGGACTCAGAATGTTCCTGGAGGCCGAGCTCTGACAGTGAGGATTCTAGAGCGTGATCGCTGACCAGCGTAAGAAAACCCTTTCAGCCACCCGAGGGGGTGCTTCCAAGAAGCTCACTTTTGAGGCACAGGCCAAACTGACCTGTGGTCAGCATCGCAAACCAGTGGTGCTCCCAAACACTCTGGGCTTTCCCTCCCCCTCCCCCACGTAGCCCCAGTCGCAACACCTAAAAAGTACGATTTGCTCCAGGCTGAGCCCCATCGAAAACGGGGGGCGGGGTGGCTTGAAATCGCAGACTTCCTAACTAAAGTCCAGGACCGTGAAGGGGCCAGCAGGCCAGTGACCCCCAGGGCCAGGCCAGAAGCCCTGGCCAGCCCACCCACCTGTTCTCCCGGGCAGGGGCTGACCCAGGGTCGCGTTGGCAGAGAGGCTTGGTTCGCACCCGCTCAGAAGTAAGAGGAAAAGGACAGGAGAGCCCACGGACCCGCCTGGACCCCCTCGAGCTCCACCCTCCATGGAAACTGCTGGCCCCAGCTGGCTGGGGGGCTACCAGGGTGCCCTGCCCGCCACAGCGCTGGGCTCGGCCACCGTGCGGCTTATGCTAGTGCGCGCGCACACACACACACACACACACACACACTCACAGGTGTGATTTATACAGCTGTGCACACACGTGCCCTCACCCATACGCCTGTGCACTCACACCCTCCCCCACCCACACTCACCCCCTCACACTCGCGACCCAGTGCTCCTGGCCTCCTCCAGGTGAACAGCCCGCGGGCTTCTTAAATTCCCTGCCTTCCTTTTCAATGCTTAGCTTAACGTGTGTTTGTCCTCCGCACACTTCAAACTCTCTAATCTCTGCTTGAAAAACGTGTATGACATGTGGGAGTGTTTGCTCCCCGAGTTCCAGCTTGGCATGTCGGTGGCCAAGTACAGAGTATTCTGGAACGGAGCCGCAGCGAGGGGACAGGGCGGGGGAGTGCTCCCCAAACCGTGACAGCAAACAAAGGGAGGCCCCGCTAGGCTCTTCCCACAGCGCTCCGCCCCAAGGCGTTCCAGAACCAGCGTCGCGGGCTCGGGTCCAGGTGTTCCTGCGCCCCCCCCCCCCCCCCCCCCCCCCCCCCCCCCCCCCCCCCGCCCCCGCCAGCCTTCCGAGGCCCCCAGCCCAGCCCTTGCCTGCACGCCGGCCTGCAGACGTCCTCCCCGGGCCTGCCTCCGCGGCCCAGCCCGAGAGCTCTGCGGTCCCCGAAGATGTGACCTTGACTCTGGCTCCCGGTTTTCCTGCTTACAGACCAGTTTTCCAGGGCTGCAGGGAAACTTCCTTCCCCAGGAGGAACAGAAGGACGGCTGGCGTGAGGGGGCCCGTCCCGCCCGCGGCCACACGGGGACTTGAGCACTCAGATCACCTGGTGGTCCCATGGGGGGGTCATCCCTGTTTTTCTTCAAGATCGTGCTATTTTTTTTTTCAACGTTTATTTATTTTTGGGACAGAGAGAGACAGAGCATGAACGGGCGAGGGGCAGAGAGAGAGGGAGACACAGAATCGGAAACAGGCTCCAGGCTCTGAGCCATCAGCCCAGAGCCCGACGCGGGGCTCGAACTCACGGACCGCGAGATCGTGACCTGGCTGAAGTCGGACGCTTAACCGACTGCGCCACCCAGGCGCCCCCGTGCTATTTTTTTTTTAATATAAGTTGCGAATGAAGCTGTTTCCATGGAGCCGTTTGTTTTGGTTTAACCGTAAAGTTTTTTTTTTTCATTTCCAATAAATACTGGTTTCTTTTTTTTTTTTTT